TTTTCGGGTCTTCGGTCTTTGTTTTGTAGACACCCATATAGCTGTCTCTTATACACATCTAGATGTGTATAAGAGACAGATATATATATATATAATTATTAAAAATTCAATAAAAGTAGTACATTAAAAAGTAATGTAATCAAACAAATTATTATAAGAAAAATAATGATACATCTGTATATCTACATGTTATCAAACAATCCTGAAACACTGCTGAATATGTTTACATATCTTACAAAATTGCTGAGCACTACATTTACAAAGTGCGCCACATACCTAAGCGTTGTTTCTTTTCTCTTGGCTTTTTCCCTTCCTCCATGCATGGGCACCCACCACAGTTTGAGAAGCATAGCGCTTTACTTAGGTACAAGAAAAACATGATGACCAGCAGTAGAAGAATGACCACTATGGTGAGGAACACAATAGCCTCATCAGGAACTAAAAATAAAAGAAATGGGAAGTAAAATCTCATAATACATTCTGAATTTGTTACTCAAATTTCACAAAGAATTAGCAATATTTAAATTAAGCAGCATTCACAATTTCAGTTTTCTTTTGGCTATAAATAATGAACTAAATATAGCAAAATTATAAACTTTGTTTATCTTCATTTACATTGAACGCTATGAAAGCCACAATATTCCATTTATTCACTCTCTTTGGTTATTGGGTGAAAATGCCATTTGTTTTAGCCTGTTGGCTGTGGACACACTAAAGTTAAGTGCATACATGATGGTATAAAGGATGCAAAAAGGTTTATTTTATTTTCTAAACATTGTAGATTCTGTATCTGAGAATGTCGTGGATTGGATAAAAGAAGAAGATTGGTAGGAGTTAGGGAGAAGATGACTTTTGGGAAGCACGTAATACAACAAATACTCAAATCTATTAAAGAAAGTAAAACTAAGACAGAAACTAAGCAAAAAAAAAAAAAAAACCAAAGAAAATGTATGAATCATACCTTAGGTTTATAGAATAACACTCATATGATTAAAACTTAATACAGTACAACTGTACAATACAACTTAGTACAGTAGTTGCAACTTACAATTTACTATTCACATTCATAAGCAGGTACCACAAAAAAATACTCAAGTCTAATAAAAACAAAAGTAAGACTAACATAGAAATCAAACCAAAACAAAAAAACAAAAAAACAAAACAAATGTACGAATCATACCATAAGTTTATAGAATAACACTCATATGATTAAAACTTAATACAGTACAACTGTACAATACAACTTAGTACAGTAGTTGCAACTTCATATTACTTCACATTCATATATATAGTTGAAGTTCTATATGACTAAAATCAAGGATTGGCAAGCAACATCTTTCACACTATTCAAGAGAAGCAGCAGAAAACAACTGAAATATTTCCTCATAATTCACATGACAAATCACTATTATTAACAGCCTACAATATCATACAAAATATAATAAAATTGAATTCGGACAGTCAATAGAAAACACTGCTTTAATGCTTTATTGTTGTACTGTACTACTACAGATTTTTTTTTTGTTGTTGTTTCAAGAATTTATGACAATCAATATCAACCATTCCTATACTCCTATAAAGTTATGGATTTTGTAACACATCTGTAAATCAGTGAACAATTGTTTTGATTTGTGTTTCTTTGGAAGTTATTCAATTTTTTTTAATTCTTCCATCTTTTGGGGTTTTTCCACATTTCAGCACGGATAATATAATAAGCATAATTAAATAGAAAGACTCACAGTGACTAATAATGGATATGAATTGTAACCTGAGTGAATACCAAGAGTAATTATAGGTAGCTTGAATAAATGATTGAAATGAAGGAAAGGTTGATTTCTGCTTGGTTGTGATTAATTTTATTATATACAGTAAAACGACCTGGTGGCAAGATGCTTGCCTTCCAATCCCAGGGTTCTCATGTTTAAACCCTTGTTATACTGCAAGTTTTTTTCTCACAACTAAAACCAGCTCCACTCTTTAAATCTTGTAAGGAGACTTAGCTTATGAAACACCATTCTATCATGTAATGAAAGAGTTATGTACTTGATACATTGAATGTGAAAGAAATTGATTAAAAAAAAAAAATCAAATATAAAAAGCTACAATCAGAGAACAAACGGACTTGAATGAATAAAAAATGCTCAGGTATAAAAAAAAACAATTAAAAATATATTTTGTTAAACATTAATCATTAATTAACTTTTCATCCAAGCAAATAACAAAAAAAGAAGTATAAGCAATAGAGTACACTTAAAAATGGAAACACAAATAAATTTTAAAATACTTACGTGCAAAATCTATGAAATGGAAGCAGAGGCAAAAATGAATTCAAAATATTTTAGAATTATAATTAAAAAATATAATGTACTTAACCAAGCAGTTTGACGCATGACCCAGTTAGCAATTTGAACCTTATTCGCGATTCATGGTAGTAAAAGGCCGTAATTAAAGTAACTTAAATTCAGCTTTAAATGTTGAAAATGTTAAAGGCAAAGTAGTGTGACAGTCCAAAGGCGAAAAACAGCTAAGAACGTCAAGGTTTAACATGCGTTCATGACACACATGCATATGGTTAGCCATCAGGGCCGTTATCTTCATAAAAAGCACCATAATGATTCATAAGCGCTGTAATGCCATTCATTTTCAACCAATCACAGGTTTCGGATGACGCCAACAGGGTCATAATGAAAGCGCCATTAACGTGTTACAAAAAAAGCGTCGTGATCATAATAAAAGCGCCGTAATCATAATGAAAGCGCCGTAATCATAATGAAAGCACCGTAATCATAATAAAAGCGCCGTCATGATATTCACTTTTAACCAATCACAGGCTTAGAATTACGCCAGCAGGGTCATAATGATTACAGCGTTAACTTCTTCAATAAAAGCGCCGCTTTGAGTAGTTGGCGCAAGGGCCACACTATTGGCCAATCACATTCCTTCTTTCATGTTTGCAGAATTGAACGAACATGTGATGGATGATGGGGATTTTAGCCTGCGTGATGAGTAACTACCGGTAAATCCTTAGAATAGTCCTCTATCTAGCCTAGGCCTAGGGTAGGCCTGCCTAGCCTAGCTAGGTCTAGAGTTACGTCAATCATTAAGTCATTAAAACATTATTATTATTATTATTAGGCCTATTATTATTATTATTATTATTATTATTTAAAAACATTAAAATCATTAAAACATTATTATTATTATTATTATTAAAAAACATTAAAATCATTAAAACATTATTATTATTATTATTATTATTATTATTATTATTTAAAAACATTAAAATCATTAAAACATTATTTTCATTAGGATTGAGAGGAAAAAATGTGGGTCTTCGTTTTTCTGATCTTTGGTTTTCGTTTTGTAGACACCCATATAGGGTGTCATATAAAACGAAGACCCTTAAGTATTTCTTGATATTCCTCATTTTATTCTGATAAAATAATGAAACAGGTACTTGGCAACTGTTTTATGATGATTTTGAAATACTTTCAATAAGATAATTGAGAAATAATTGGAGGTCTTCATTTTTCGGGTCTTCGGTCTTTGTTTTGTAGACACCCATATAGGGTGTCTATAAGACAAAGACCTTTGAAAATTTCACAAACAGACGGCCAAAAAAATTGTAATTTTGATTTTGTGACAGCCTGGTGTATTAATATTATCATCAAAATAAAATAGAAAATATAGGGGTCTTCGTTTTTGGGTCTTCAGTCTTTGGCCTTCATTTTATAGACACCCCTTGGCTAGGCCTATAAAACAGATAAATAAAAACCGTTAGAAATCAGTTCATTAGACCCCTGCACACTCCGACTTGCACCTTCGGCCGCGCCTGGATGGTCTCACTCCTCGCTATGAAAGACGGATTGTGATTGGCTAAAAGTGTGACCCTTGCGCCAGCTACTCAAAGCGGCGTTTTTCTAATTTTGATAACGCCGCCGCCGCCGCTTTTATTGAACAAGTTAACGCCGTAATCAATTATGACCCTTATGGCATCATTCTAAGCCTGTGATTGGTTGTAAAATTAACAACATGACGGCGCTTTTTATATGATTACGGCGCTTTAATGTAACACGTTAACAGCGCTTTCATTATGACCCTGTTGGCGTCATTCTAATCCTGTAACTGGTTGAAAATGAATGGCATGACAGCGCTTTAATTATGATTACAGCGTTTTTATTATGATTACAGCGCTTTCATTATGATTACGGCACTTTTATTATGATCACGGCGCTTTTTTTGTAACAAGTTAACGGCACTTTCATTATGACCCTGTTGGCGTCATCCTAAACCTGTGATTGGTTGTAAATAAATGGCATTACGGCGCTTTATATGAAGATAACGGCACTATCATTATGATTACGGCGCTTTCATTATGGCCCTGATGGCTAACCATACACACAAGTACATGGTACCTGCACTTTTAGGTGAGTCAAATGGGCAAATGGTTAAGCCAGAGGTACCATAAACTACAGTCATAAACATTTGCCGTGGGTTTGAGTGGAGGCTGGCTATGGTTCTAGTGGTGACTTTTTATATATGTGTCCCTAACCATTAATTTACTTGTGAACATCGGTAAAATGGGGGAGAGGTTAGCAAAAAAAAAAAACCCTTCCTCACTCATCAGTTTTTATTCTTTGATAGGGTGATAAACTAGATATTTTTTTTTATAGGGCCTAATAAATTCAGGTTTTATTATTATCATACAATAACCATGGAGGTATTATTGAGAAGATCACTCGAAAATACTACGCGCACGTAGCGCTATGCAGATGAGCCAAGAACAAAGCTGCCGCAGCGCGTGAAGGACGTTTGCGCGATGCCTTTGAAGTCTGATGTGTTCCCCGGGCCATCAAATTTTCAGCAGGCATAGTTTACCAAAAAATTGAACATGGCGAAACGGAGAGCACCTTCTTTTCTCGATGTGCACTACATACAGTCCATCACTATGGCTGCGCAATCGTTTCCACAATAAAGCTAATACATTGATTTAAGAAATACCAAACATAATAATATTTTCCAAAAAAAAGTTTTGAATTTAATGAAACATTTACATCAGCTTTAAAGGTATGGTATATTTCATCTTGAATTTCCATAAATCGGATAAAACTCGATAATTCTAATTTTAACAGACATTAATTAAGGAGTGATGGAGGATTATAATATTAAGTCATTTTAGGGTTAACAAGGGTTAACAATTAGAAAAATGAATCCAAAATTAGAGCAATTTTCATTTTTACGCTGCCTTAGCTTTATAGTCGAACCAATCGATTTTTAGACAAAATTATATTAAACACAGAAGTAATTTTAACAGAAATATTTTAAGAAATCTTTTCCTGAAATATACAAATAATAACATACTAAAATTCCGAAAAAATCCAATCAGGGGAACATTGTTCATTATAAAGATATTTAATAGGTTAAAATCAAACGCTTTATTGCACAACTGCTCTGCTGAAGCGTAAAAACGCATGTCGTTACCAAGTTGTTGCTAACAAAAAAATGTGAATTATGGGGTAATACGCTCACACGCGATCCAAAGGCGGGGAACAGATTGGTTTGTCGCATCAAAGGGATCTGTGGCCGAGTGATCTCCTTCTCAATAATACCTCCATGTAATAACTAAAAACTAACTTGTTCCTACTAAATAATACTAGTTATTTCAAGAAAGAGTTAAGTCCTGTCAAAGACTATAAAATTTTACTAGACAAACTCATGTGACTTGCCATGGTCATAATGACCATATTATAGTCACATCATGACTATGGGCATACAACAGTTTTTTCATGTCAAAGAAAATTGCAAAGAGAAGAAAGACTAAAGTGTTCTTACATCCTTTATGTGTGTCTGTCTATTTTAATGTTGAAATTTTATTAACAGTTAAAAATTTACATGAAAAACATGTGGCACAAATTATCTGTTTTGCTTTATCCAATTTTGTTCAAACATTTACACTTGATCTCTTTCTGTTATTTTGAAGTGCATGTAGGCCTACTGTATGCTACAGTATATAGCACTAAAGTTTACATCCACTAATCTGAATTACTGTAGTACAAGGATTGTATTTATATTGATTCATACTAATCATCTAATAAATAACTTAACAAAAAAAAGATTTTGCCATCACTTAGCAACAAAGCCTTAATTTACAGTGTCAACAGCATTGGAATCCCCTGGCAGGGAAGAAGTCAACTATTTTGTTGGGAACACTGCTTTAGAAAAGCATTTCTACATCCTATAATAGTGTCATTTCAGGAATTTAGACTCGTTCTTTTATATTGCTCCAATACAGGTGGTAGGTGCTAAAAGTAAATTTGGACTCCTGTCGGTAAACTTGGACCTTTCGTTGGGAACCCCATGTTTTTATTAATATTTTAAAGGAGCATAGTATAATTTAAGAATGAAGGTATTGTAAACTGAATACATAGGCCGTATTCGACTTATCGTTCTTCGTTATACCACACCCACCTGCGCAGTGGTAAAATCCTACTTAACGAAGACGACAAGTCGAATAGAAAACTGGTAAATACTCGACAAAACAAAATGGCTGCACAGTTACTGCGATGCATGCTGCATAATCAAGGCTACTTCGGATTGTGGCAGTATGGGTTTTTCGTAAAAAAAATTTTTAATTCAGTTTTTTAATGCTGTTAGTCTACAATTATTTTTTGACTTCAATTTGGGTATATATTATCTTATTTTCTGAAATTTAAACTAAATTATATTAACGCAAATGTTGTTGCTAAACTGACCAATCGGCCATATTTTTTTGGTCACGTGCATATCTTAACGCTGATTAACACATTCTGGTTACGTTAATTTTCGTTATCAACGAAGTCTATTTTACGAACCAGTCAAATGAAAATAATACTCAAGGAAATTCGTACTCAACGAAATGAACCAGTCAAATATTAAGCCTATTGTATACCATCTATCCTACTATCAAGGGCAAATACCAATTATTCTGGTATTTATAAATCTTACACAATTTTCTAAGCACACAGCTTTACAATATCTATTCAAAATAAATTCTTTTCTGAAAAGTTATCTCCCTATTGTGTACGACATCAAGTAAACATATGCTTTAGAAATTATGATTTTCCTTCACAATTTTAACTTGAGAATTGAAAACATTGTCAAACTACACCTCAAATCCAATAAAATCCATTTAAAATTTTTGAAAGAAAATAAAAATTCAACTTGCCTTTAAAAGGCATATTTGCAAAAGTCACATTCATTTTTCAGTCCCCGCTCATACGATATTATCCAGTCTAATATTCTAGGTCCAAATGTTCCCAAAGTGCATAGCTTGTGTCTTCATATATGAACTGCTTTATTATAGATTCACAGAGATTTATAGGTATTACTAAGCATCCATTCTTTTGTATTTCAACTGGCTGTTGAAATGTCAGATCCATGAAATATAATTATTACAGTAGTTTTATGTGAGGTAATTACTCAAGAATATTTGCAAGTATTTTTTATGTAAACAAACCTATTTTTTCTAGACATAGACTATTTCTAAATTTTTATTTCTCTTTCTTTTACTTAAAAAAGTAATCATATACAACTGGTTAAAATTTTATAAATTTTAAAACTTTCAATTTAATTGTTAATTCCTTTCAGTTTTGCTGTAATAATATAATTTTTCAATTTTTTTAAAGTAATTACAATAGAAAATGTGTGTTTTAGTACAATAATAAAACAAATATGAAACAAATATCATGTGTGGACTTCATAGAATCAAATTTAGTCAAAAACTTGCCTTCCACTCACATATTCAAAAATCATAATAATAATAATAATAATGTTATACTTATAAATGCCTTGCGCAAGGACACAAGCAAAAAGCATGTGATGGATTGAACCTCTGATCACAAACTTGGGAAGCAGTACTGTAACCACTGCAAGAAACCACTCCTACAAAACAGTCACTAACTCATGTTCATGGCTAGATTTTTCCAGTCGCATGTTAAACAAATAAATAAAAGGAAAAACTAAAATTTAAATACATCAGATATGAATACCATTAAAAATAAATATGCTAATGATATACTATTTATATGATCAATTTTTGTCACATACAGTAAAATGCAGCCAAATTTTATTAATGTATTGTTTTATTAAGAAAGTACAATACAGTGTAAAGCATACATGACTTTTACCTAAAATATTGTTGCCTTTTTCCTACCTTTCCGATCCATACGTCTAACATGTATGCCTATTTTGTGCGACTCCAATGAAGCATTTAATATCAAATGGTACTTTGTATTCTGTACTTCAACACTCATTACCAAGTCATCACTTTATAATAATAGTCATAACAAACAAGAATATATAAATACTTTAAAAGATATAATTTTTGACATATTTTATTTTTGAAGTTATATTTTTGATATTATTGAACAAAATTAAAGTTTATTTTAACTATCTTGTTAATAACAATAATAGATTTATAAAATGTAATTTTTTCCAATCAGACATTATCAAAGGCATAGGTATATATAAAACCTTGGACAATTGCTGACCCTGAAATCATGGGGAAGTGCAAGGCAAGGAAACATAAAGTTACATAGCCATAACAAAAAATAGTGACTTCATAAAATACTGAAAAAAAGCAATGATAAATTTTCCTTGAGCTGAAAGGGCACATTAAAACTATGTTGGATGCTTGAATTTTAACAGAATATAATGGGTTAGACAGGTTAATAAAAATTAAATTTTTTTAAAGGACTAACAATACTTATATAGATGGATGCTGGATTTATTAAAAATAGCCGGCAGTTAATAACATGCATGATTCTTTATTCAGCCGATACATTATGGCTGCTGAAAAACATTAAAACAACTAATATCACAAGGCATAATGCAAGCTCATTAATTATGCAAATCTTTACAGTAGAGAAAAGAACATTAGAATAAATAAATACAAAATAGAGAGCGTCACAACACATCACCATATTTACTAAGGCGAAACTAGTCAGTGGCGTATCTAGGAAATAGAGGGCGCCTAGTGAGGAGAGAGTCTACACCACCTCAGCTCCTACGATGGCTGAGGAAAGACAATTTAATAAGACTATGGCACTTCTAGATGGACAAAAATGGCACTCTCACACTTAAATTTGCTTATATTTTCTCTTTTTCTCCATTTTTTAAATAATTTTTAAAAATTCAAATGGGAGGGGGATTCGACTCAGCCCCCTTGACTCTGCCACTGCCAGTGTGAGAGCTGGCTCTATACTATATAATGATGATAATTTGACCTATTTTTGTTTTTTTCTAACAAATTGTATTTCTAATGTTTGTTATCTTTAGCATTTTGCTGTTTTGTATTTGTGAATAAGTTTTGTGATGCAAACCATTTCAGCTTTGGCTGCTGTTTGTAATTGTTTTTATATGCTTATACCTAAATAAATGAATAAATATTTTTAAAAATTGTTTTCATTGATACCATTGCATTGATAAATTTTACTGATCTGTGTACACACCCCATCTATTAAACTCTATGGACCAGGGCCATTACAAAACATCTTTTTCATTACTTACCTAAATGCTGAGTCTATGACTACAGTCAAAAAACGAATGCAGTTATATTTTATTCTCAATTAAGAAAGTCAGGAAGCCACATTATCATATAATAACTTAATGTACTGTAGAATTCTTGGGTGTTATGTTTTTAATTTACATTATTTTATACAGTAACCATTTTGGGGAGTCACCTGATGGTATTAAGATAACTTTTTTGGAAATCCTGTCATGTATCATTACTTTCTCATTACTGTTACATGAATTTTTTCATGTCTCTGTATTTTAATGATAAAATAAATGAAATAATTTTTTTTTCCCAACATTTTTATTTTAACAACATAAGCAGGCTTTCTCTTATGTTGGTTTTCAAATTCGGTAATAGTCACTCGATTAAATGTAAAAACAGTCCTGAAATGATTATTTCAAATAATTGAAACATTAATATATTAATATTTTTATTATTATTTTGCTCTTGTAGACTATCACAATCCTGACGTCAGGATAATAAAGAATAATATATTTCAATTATTATGGTACATTAAAAATTCAGTGTTGCTAGTATATACAGTAGTCTTGTCTATTTTGCCAGCCCAAATATTATTTGACTACATCCTTAGCCTGCACCACATATTTTCTAAAACAAACTTCTTTTTTTGAAGTAATTTCTAAAGTAGAAATTGATTAAACAAATTTTCTGGAATGCTGAGGCCTCAAGTGAATGTTTTGTAACTGTGATGCCTCTGCTATGACAGTGGGTGGATTAAGCATCTCCAATAGTCAACTATGCCCTAAGCTTTATACAGAAAATTATTGCATGCTCTTACTGTCCCATTTACCAGCAAACCCTTTAAAAGGGCATTCAGGCGGGTTGGTGAACCAGGTTTTGCCAGAATCTTATCTCAATAATCCAATTAAACATCAAAGAAGAAATGAGAAGAAAATCAAAGAGAAATGAGAGAAAAAAAAAGAAAACAAACGTTTTTGATTTTAGTCCTGTATTACTTTATGACTTTTGATTTACTTTTATATGCTTCTGTGTTATCTGGCCTGATATGTGTGCTTCTTGTGTGATAAGTGGTGTAGTATAGAGTTCAGTATGTACTGTATGTCTTTATGTTTATAATTGTGAGTACCGTACAGTCATGTGACTGGGTATACAGTTGTGTATGGATATATATGTACTTATGTACTGTGTGTGTATTTCATGTACATTTGTATAGTGTTTGTATAATTGTTCATGTGATTGTTTGCATCACTTCATTTTGCCTTAAGTTTTTTTAGTTTTAGGATTGCTTTTAATTTAATTGCTTTTCCTTAATGTCCTTTTTGAAATTTTGAATTGTCGTTTTCTTAGCATAAGTCTTTTTTGTGAACTTTACTGTACATTTTGTTTTGGACGCACCTTGATTGAGAAGTGTGCCACTGATTGAAAAGTGTAGTTCCTAATAAATTATTATTATTACATCAAAGAAGAATACCTCTACTTAAAGAGTCATTATCACAGCAGGCATTGCTGTTTCTCAATAAATTACCAGTATAGTATTTAAAAACCAGGCTGGAAAATTTTTAAAAACCTGTTGTTAAAAAAAATTGGCATTTTTATTACCTTAGCTACAATTTCAGATAAAAATCATAATAGATGCTTTTGAATTTTAAAAATCAATGACTTAAGTTAGAAGTTACAACATGGTTTTTGATTTATTTGTGCTAGTCTTCTTATGAACTATTCACAACTAATGAGCTTCACTGTTAATCTTGTTACAAAATTCCCTGAAGCAGTAATTAATAGAGATAAGAAGAGATCGGCAAAACCTGGTTCAAATATTGAAAATTTGGTAAATGGTGAAGTTTCCTCATGAATGTCACATGACCTCCTCTTCCACCTAAAGAAGAGCACTATGTGCTCTAAAGACAATGTAAAGTCAAAATAAAACGAATGTTCTACTAATTCCAGTGTCTTACTTGTGCCATGTAAACAAAATAACTATTCTTTTCATACTAATAAGCAAATTTAGTAACTTCACTTCAGCAACACTAAATTTCTTAATCCATTATGTAAACAAATATTTTTATAAATAAATTTGAAATCGAACCCAAATTATTCAAAGTATGTTAATAGTTGCCTGGTTGGGTTTTCATTAAACCGAAGTACATATACATTGCCATCGTTCACTACTCAGACAATCATAATCAAATAGTGGTAGATATCAGAGTCTCCATACCCTGTCCTACCAAACTTTCTATAGTAATTTTATTTAAATATGAAGCACTTACAGTATGGGTTTTTGGAAATAGACATGACTCCTGAGCGAACATCTAGCCTGGAAGTGACAGGCGAAGATTATATTTTACAAAGATCAACATACTATCCTTTCTTCCTAGCCTAACTGGAATAAAGTCTTTCTTCAATAAGTTATGGTTGGGTGACAACAAAAACACACTATTCATTCAAAAAGTTAAAAACTGGGTTGTTCCATTTCATAATAGGTATTTTCAACATTAAATTTTAATCAGGACAAATTTAAGAGAAAATAACAACTATATAATTCTATAATTAAAGTTTTATGGTACTAACATTTTTGATGTATTTTGAATGCTTTTTTACTTCAAATTACTATTTAATGATAAATTTTCTTTTAGCAAATAGTTTTGCCAAAAACATCCAGACAGAGGAGAAAATAACTTTAAAATAAAATGTTATTGGTGAGTATAAACAGTGTAGTAATGGGATGGTTAAATGCTTTAAATTTATATACAGTAATTAGGAACAAATATACATATCATATTTTT